ACAGTATTTACATGGAGAAGATAAGCCCCGCCCCCTCTCCAGCACGTTCTGTTTGAATGACAGGAGTAAACAGCTGACAGCCGCTGTGAAACTCCAGCGGTTAGAGCGATGAGAATGTCCGTTCGGCACCTCATGACGCATCTACTGAGTACCGGGCGGCTGTATATATATATATGGATGTATAATAAGAACGGCGGGAGAGTGTTGAGTACTGGCACGGTGCATGAGTACCGGAGTACCGCCAGCATGCCGGTACTGAGCAAGAAGTGCCGGTACTCCATGGGTCAGAACCAGAAGTGCCGGTACTGCGTACCGGTGAGTACCGGCCCAATTCCAGCACTGGCTGCAGTAGTTTGGAATTAACAAGTCATGTTTCTGTTCTAGATGATTACATTGGGACTAGCGAGGAGGAACAGTCCCGAACAACGTCCTCCACATCAAATCCAGAGTTATACTTTGCGTGAACTACTTTACTAACGTACATATTTACTTGTGTTTCGTAACAACGTCATATTTAAACCATGATATTTTGCTAAGCTTTCACAAGTGGTTTTGTTGCCTTAACTGACATATTTATTGTATCAGTATTGTCTTTCCTGTGACATGTCTTAATGTTTTAATGTTCAAAAAGCTCTTTTGTTTTTCTCATACTACCTGTGCTGCAGCACCTCTTTTCACCCTCTGTCTGAAACCAGAGCCCAGTCTGCTCTGATTGGTTAGCTGGCTGGCTCTGTTGTGATTGGTCAACCGCTTAGAGTTGTCCCACCCCTTAGCCTATCACGTACAATGTGTTGGAGCGCGAGCCAATAGAAGAGCGAGTGTTACATGATGTTACTTTGAAGAACACAGGAGTCTAATGGAGGCGTTTCAGGCGAGTGTGTGGGAGAGAACTCAGGGATTTTAGCCTTTGCAGACCATTTACATGCACTAAAACCTACATAACATACTACAGGAAAGGGACAATCCCAAAAAGCACATAGGGCCTCTTTAACCTTTGCACACTTTCAGTTTTCCTTCCCCCTCTTCCTCGTTTCACACCCTCTCTCCCTCCCTCCATCCCTCCCGGTATCCGTAGTGATTGGAGGCAGGAATCTGCGGTTGCTAGGAGACGAGGATGAGTGTGGCAGCCGGCCTCAGTGTGAGAGCGTTAGGGGAGAGAGAGGGGGGAGGAACATTAGGAGAGAGTGCCCCCTGCTGGTGGACATTGATACCTGCAGGATGGATCTGTTTAATAGCATGGATAACACAGAAGTCAGAAGTAAAAAAAAAAACCAGTATAAGTGTACATGTTTTGTAAACATATTAAATATAAAGACGAAAAGCACACAATAGTAATATAATTATAAATAAAGATACATCCATCGCATAAGTAACACATTAAGGTGTTGAAACGTTATAGAAATGTTGGGACATTTATACAAATGTGTGTTTTTACCTCAAAGTGATTATTGGACACTACAATTTGCACAAAAAAACAGTTGTTACAGCCAAAGTGGCATAGCAGGTAAACAATCATATTAAATATAGAGAATAAAATCATACATTAGTACTTGAATAAAAAATAAAGACACATCCATGGCATAAGTAACACATTAAGGCGTTGTGACATGTATACAAATGTGTTTTACCACAAAGTGATTATTGCACAGTACAATTTGCAAAAAACGTTTTGATATTCCACATTTCAGGTAATGTGTTTAGGTGGGATAGCGATAGCGTATGGTGATGGTGGTTTGTATTCAAAATACTGATTATGCACTCTTGTTCCTTTGAGTTTGCATCATGGTCTTTGTTAAGGTCACAGATTTAGAGATGGGAGTGTATTTCGTCGGGCTGCATCATGCTCTTTAATCTAGGAGAGTTTCTCTGAGGTTGTGAAAAGGGGGCAGCTCCACACCGAGCAGCAGCAATCACAGTTCAACATCTCATCCGTCCACAAACTCAGAGTGACGATTCCAGCCTATTTTATCAAAGCCTTTCCACTGAAATAATACTAAATGTCCGTGGGACTCTAATTATGATACAGCAGGATCAAAGCCTGTGAAATTGTACCCAAGTATAACTTTGGAAGCTTCAAAGAGATTGAGGAGTTCAGAGAAAATCATTTAAGGGCTGTTTCTCCATCTCTTTCAGACAGCTGCTGTAATGTGAGGACGGCTCTGAGAATGTTTGTTGTCTGACCCTGACTCCATGTGGTCATCCAGGAAACTGCAAGTCTCTGCTGCTGTGGGGCACCTCAGAGACTGTTGCTGCATTCATTGGCTGCAGCAGGATGGTGTGTATAGTCTAGTATTTATTTCATTTGTTATTATAATTAAATATAGATAGTCCTATTACAATAGTTTTTTTAATAATTGTATTTCGATGTTTTGTATTGAGGCAAATATATATTTTATTTTGTACAAAATTAATGGCAATAAGCATATTTATTAAAATTATTATTAATATTTTCATACATATATGATATTTTCAAAAACTATTTTATAGAGGTATTTTCATCTACACATATTTTATCTATATATATTTTTTTATATCTTAGTAAAAAAATCTATGGCACAATTTTAAAAGCATTTCTTTATATAGACTTTTTTAAATCAAATTGTATTGGCATATTTTCTATCTATATATATTAATATATATGTTTTGATGTAATTGAAAAATGAATGGCACTTTTTATAGGCGTATTTTTTGAATAGGCATTTTTTATGCATACATTTGTTATCTTATTAAAAATAAATAAATGGCACAAATATATAGCCAATTTCTAAATAAGCATATTTCCTATCCATAATATATTTGCTTTACCTTACGAAAAGAAAAGAGGCAGGATTTGTATATGCATATACTGAATAAAACCCATTTCTATTAAATTGATATTTTATAGTCAATAAAAATGAATATCAAAATATATAATAAATATTGATTTATTGATTAATGTGTTCTTATTGTCTGTATAAAACTCACAAAATCCTAACGCATGTTCTTTGTAAAGGCCGTTCTGCTTTTGGAACAAGTGATTCTAACAACTATTATCACAGCACTCAGAAAGGAGCCATTACTGGTTATTATATCCACCGGCGGCATTCAGCAGCAGAGAGAACCTTGTACCTCTGCTCACTCCGTCACATAAAACCCACACTTCAGAGCGGGTTGTATTCACGCTTATTACCCGCTCTTCTCTGCATGCACTCAGGTTATAGAGGTAGGTTGTGTTCCAGTTTTAATTGCCCATTCACTAACATCCAACGAGTCTCAGGCCTGCAGGCACTGTGGACCTTCTGCAGGAAAAAACATTCAACACGTCAACATTAAATCCATGTAAGTGTTTGTTGTAAAATGTCTTCATTTAGTTTTGCCATTTCAAGGACAATTCATTTCTTTTTGTGAGAGGGATTGTAAATGGCAACTCATATTTTCTCTTATTTTGGTAAAAGTAGTAAAAGTGCTTTTTCATGCAACATCTCTCTACCTAAATGAGGTGTTTTGTCTTTGTTAGAGTCCACATGTTGTTAAATTCTCATATTTATTCAAGGATTTTTTTAACATATTGACAATGTTTCACAGCCTTGAGATGTTCCCTGGCATTAAACTATATTAAATTATTCCTATTTTTATCATGATTTTAAAGTTCAAAAACCTTGTCAATGGTTATAAGACATCAAAAAACCACATGGGCACTGTTTGACTGGTATGCATAGTCATTTTAAAGCATGGAGACATGTCACAGTAGAGACACTAAATACAATATTAAACTGTATTAATATAATAATCCACCTTTAAAGCCAATCCAGTAGCACTATCAATGATTTGTCTTATTTGAAGGCTACATACAGTGTGTACAAAAGGTTGCTTTCATCCTCTACAACCGTGTGCTTGGAGCCTCCTCTGTAGAAGATTGTGTGCCCTTGTCCGTGATGGAGAGAGAGTGTGTGTGTGTCCCAGCAGGCGTTCCTGTTGATTGGATAGGCCTGGCTGGCTGACTTTCTGGTGTATCATCACCCTTTATCTCGCATCTCTTTCGACTTCAGTGTCAACACAAACAGCACAACACACAACAAAACGTGACCGTCTTGCTTCAAATCGCACATGTTTTTAAAAAAAAGGCAAAGTGTAGATACGTACCCTCAAAATGATCCACAGTTAAAGGCTCTGTGATGCAGTTGCTATGGCAACTATGATAGAAATAGACGTGTATCTGCAAGGGAATGAAATGTATTGAACTGTTGTTTGGAAACTGAGAGATTTTATTCTTGTGATTGGCAGGTTAAGTGAGAAATGTGTGTTTTCTTTGTACATTCATGTAGGGTTCTTTGTGTGTGTGTGTGCATGTGTGACACACAGCAGTACATTAAAAGTGGATGGGGGGCATAGGGCACATCATTATGAAGGTGGGGGAGTGTGTGTGTGTGTGTGTGGGGGGGGGGCTGCAGTGCACTCGGCCCTGTGTGAGAGCAGATAAGCTCAGGCGGAGACAACACAGTAAATTAAATGGGGGAAAGGATTCTGTGTGTAGCCCCTCCATTGTTGTTCTGAGTGTGTCAAACATTAACCAAGATATAATGATAATGATTTAAGTGGCTTTTGTTTATGGGAAATCAACAATATAGCTACTCTCCAGCATCAAGAGACCAGAATAAACTGCTTGCAATCTGTTTCTAATGCAGGCGTGCATATTTGCACACATTCTCTGTTATTGACTTATTCATTTTCAGACATAACCCTCTTTTCATTCAGCCCCTGTCTCCTCTCCATATTGCCTTTGTACCCTGGTGCCTTCATTAGTCTACCCTAATTCATTTTCACTGTGGAGATGCAATAAGAACAAAGGAGCTGTGATTAAAAACCATATTGCGCAGGCATGCAAAAATAAAATGTATTAGAAATATTACTATAATGTTATTTTTTGTATGTTGGAAATAAATAAAAAAGCAATAGGGAAAGCTTTAAGGAGAGGGAGGGGATGTGATGGAGAGAGATGAGGGAGGAGGAGGGGGTGCAGGAATATGAGTGTGTATGCATTTTCAAGGCGGTCTTTCTGTTGCAAGAAGAAGAAGAAAAAAACACACAGAACAGGAAAACGAATAGGTCGTAGCTGCTGATGAAGGAATGCAATTCTTGGTGACGGGAAACAGGCGTGTGTATGCGGTATAGAGGAGGCTAGCGAGATGTTTAGTTGGAGATATAGGTGGAATAGGTGAAAGAGGGAGAGAGAGAGAAGAGGGAACAAGAGAGGGGGCGGGGGTGTGTGGACCTCACTGGCTACGGGACCCACAGGCACCCCGATTGTGCTCATCATTTCTGGAGGTGAGGACAAAAGAAAAAAAGGAGCTAATCGGAATAAAAAGGGCCGGGGATCCGAGCGTCGTGACGGGGCCCCCCTCCCCGACTCCGGTTGTCTGGACGGGAAAAGGGTGAGGGGAAAGCGGCGGAGAGAGTCGACTCAACACCGGGGTTTCCTGCCACAGATTGTCACAAAACGAGGGGCCTTGTATTGCTACGTTTTCAGGTATGCTTTACGTTAGCTAGCATCTCCGTAGCTACCACATTAGCTCTGTTTATGCAGGGAAAATGTCACGCTGTGTGGAGATCATTTTCTGATGCAGTGCTTTCACTATGTACGCATTTATTCACAGTTTTGTTGTGTCTGCACAGGGGGGAACATCTGCACCTAATCACCTCTCTTGTCTAGCTTTAGCCTGCTCCTGTTTAATAACGTAATAAAGGCAAATTAGCTTGGATGCTAACTAGTGGTTGTAGCTTAGCTTAGCTTAGCTACCCGGCTGCAACGCACATTCTATTTGAATTATGTGAGGTATTTTGGCTAAAGCTAAAGAGCTACAAAGCTAATTGTAATGCGTATACCTTGCTATTGGCTAATGTTTCTACTGTGCTGGATTGATGAGACGCAACACCATCAGAATAAAACAGAGCTGGAGTTTTATCTGCATTAACATTGCGTATGTCAATCAGTGATGGATAGTAACTGAGTACATTTACTTGAGTACCATTTTGAGGTACTTGTACTTTACCTGAGTATTCTCAGTTAATGCTACTTTTATATACTTCTACTCCACTACATTTTTTAGGCAAATGTTGTACTTTTTACTCCACTACATTTACTACATCACTCACAGTTACCAGTTGCTTTGTACATGTAACAGACATGATATACAGTGGTAGGAGTACTCACTCAGATCGTGTACTTAAGTAAAAGTAGAAGTACCAGAGTGTAGGAATACTCTGTTACAAGTAAAAGTCCTGCTTTCAAAATGTTACTCAAGTAAAAGTCCTAAAGTATTCGCATCTAAATATACTTAAAGTACCAAAAGTAAAAGTAGTCATTGTGCAGATTGGTCCATTTCAGAATAATATGATATGTTTTGTAATTATTGATGCATTAAAGTGTTATTAAAGGTGCAGCTAGTTATAATGACTGCGGGGTAGCTTGTGAATTTGCTCCAGTTGTAACTAAAGTCTGATTTAAGTGTTGATTACATTTCACATCATTTAAACTAAATCGACAAGAGTAAAGTAGGACTACAAGTCCCTAATAATTATACCTAAGTAAAGTACTTGAGTAAATCTACTTTTACTTAATTAATATTTTGAAATCGGGACTTTTACTTGTAATGGAGTATTTTCTTACCATAGTATTTGTACTTTTACTTAAGTAAAGGATCTAAGTACTTTGTTGCTAGTGTGCTGTGTTGATGAGCCGCGACACCATCAGAATATAACAGAGCTGGAGTTGTATCTGCATTAACATTGCGTATGTCAATTAGGCAGCTATGTAATTGATTGACTTGCTGACCGACTGCAATGAGAATTTGTTGTATTGTTATTAGTATTATCTATTCTGTTACGCACAGTGAGCTGCTTTGATTTAATTAGTAACCAAGGCAGGAGCTGATCGTTTTTCTAACTGTTTTCTAATAATACATGGCTTCACCCACTACCTTAACCTTTAATAGTGTCACTCAATCTTTATTAGAATTGCAAGCATCAAATTGAACTCAAATACAAGGTATGACCAAATATAAGTAATCTTCCTTTTTCTGTTTTTTCCCATGCTCCTTCAACTGCTCATTGCTTACTCTGTTTAAAAAAAGAGATACATTACATTAATGAATAACAGCAGTTACCCTTAGACTTATATCTGTAATCATAAACAATGATGCCTTGTTATTGTGTTGCTCAGTGTAAGGCGACACTACAATAACAAAAGTCACCTAAAGTTGCCATTAACCATTTTACTGCGGGACAATAGAGGCTTGTGTCACACGAGGCAATTATGGGGCTGACCTCATAAAGGTGGCGTCATGCCTTTTTTAAATTATCCCCCATAATCGTTAAAGACCATTAAAACACGTTAAAAAAAACACTAACATTAATCGTTTAAAGTGTTGTTTTGTAGTGGTAGGAAAGTACTGCTTCTGTTTTGGCACCACAGCCTTGTTTGTTTATGTGAGGTAGTGTTTGTGACCTTGTCTATGTTACTTTGTTGACTAAATTGCATGCTGCCCCTCAACCCATTTTCTATTCTCTAACCCTGTTTGTTATCAATCAGAAGAGGCAGCATTGTTAACGATCCAAACCATATTAAAAGTGTTATTTCCAGTGTGTTTTACAACAACAATAGTGTTGATATAAAGCCAACAAGGCAATCTTGTTAAAACTATTGGTGGTGATGAATATATTTGTGATGCATATGTGTGACTTCAGTGGTTAAAATGAGCCCACATGGGAAATAATGATGTAACCTCTAATATTTGATACAGTTTTTGGAGTGCAAATGCTCAAAACTAATTAAATGTATTAAGATTATAGTCGCATTAATAAATATGTCATACGTCATCACTGAATTGTTGAATTAAAAGACACTGTCAAACAGCTTTAAAGGTGGGGTAGGTAAGTTTGAGAAACCGGCTCGAGATACACTTGTTGTTATATTCCATGGAATGCTCTTAACATCCCGATAGCAATGAATATATGAAGTGCTTTGACAATAAATACATCAAAAAATCTCATCAGTGGAAGCCGTGGCGCTGTAAAAAGCACGACCAATCATCTGAGCCGGCCCGGCTAAAGTAACTGGATGGCCTACCTGCCTGTCAGCCTTCCATCTGTGCACAATCTTATCTCGTGCCCTCATTGGTCATGTGCGCGTTCGTGTGTGTTGGAGGAGGGGCTCTGTAAGGAAGTGCCAGATTTCTTCCGGTTGTGTATTTTCAAATTCTAGCGCACTCGAGCTGGTTTCTCCAAAAGTACCTACCCCACCTTTAACTATCAAAAAGCGTTTTAGTGTTATTATGACTGCAGTTAATTTCTCTTTATAACTATTTACTACTAACACAAGTTACAGTAAGGTTGAGTATTATTGCGTGTTTACTATTTTTGATGAATTCCTTTGTTTTCATGCAGGATTATGAAGGCTTCTGGTCAGCAGCTCCCGGTGAAACCGAACTTCTCTGCATGGGAATACTGAAGAGAGAACAGAAAAACTGGAGCTTGAATTGACTGAACCTGAAGTGGAATAAATGGATTATCCTCCTTTTGGAAAATTGTTGCCTTGGAACTAGGTAGAGTTGAATAATGGTTGACAGAAAGAAACAAAGGTAAGGCAGTTACATGCTGAAGATACAGGAGAGAACCAAGAAGAATCTGAATCAAGGAAAGAACAAATACTAAATAGGGACCAAAGACTTAAAAAAAAAACTGTATTCGAAGGGAATGACCAAGACAAAGAACATCGCAAATAGTATTACACTCCAAGAGCCGATGAGAATATCGATGGAGTGTTTGCCTCTGAGAGTGTTTAATGAGGGTCTGTATTCAGACCTCCTGATTCGTGCAGTTTTGGTCTCACGCAGGTGTGAGGCAGATCGTGGCAAACATATTGATGAACTGAAGGATTGTTGTGACAGAAAACATTCTCAATGGTTTTATTGAGTTTTTTTTTTCAATTTTGCACAAGTTGCTTTTGGACCACGACACAATTCAATCCTTAAAATAGCTCTGTTTGCTTGAGCTGCTCGAATAAAGTTGAGCATATACATGTAAAGACATTTGAACATATCACATGGTGGTGTGTCATGTGTTCATGATATTATTGCCTGCTCAGTGCCAAACGCTTCAGCTCCAGTTAAAATCTTATTCTGCAGTAGAAGCCCGCTTCACTACATATCTTTTCCCTTTTTTTTAAGTCCCATTTTTTAAGACCTAGCTGTTTTAAAAAAAAAGTGAACTCAACCATAACATTTTCACATTGAAGAAGACTTTTACCATTTGGCCTTTTCACATATTGACAAAATCAACCCGACCAACTTTCTGCTACAAGAAAGGGAAAATCTGCGATATATATTTTCCTCAGCTTGAACTCTTTGCTTGTTCAAAGCATTTCCTTGTTTTACTGCCAGGCCATAGACTCTCTCTTTGTCATTTATGGTCACTGCCTTCAGAAGCATTCCCTGGTATAGACACTGACCGATATTTCCATTTCTAATCCAAACAAAACAATGCAGAATTTTTCTAACAGCCCGGCTCCCCCCTCTGTCCCCTCGGGGTTCAGTGGGAGGGGTGCAGGGGGAACTCCCTATCCCCCTCAGCCAGCAGACCCCCAGATCTCCCCCAGGATGACGGATGATTACGCGGGGATGCAACAGCAGAGCCTGCACAGAGGCCATCACCACCCCAGCCAGGCTAGCCACATGCTAGCTTACAGTGCTAGAAGCAGAGGGGCTGTCGAGGCGCCGCCACCACAGGGTAGCATTCACAACACTAACAACCCTTACAGGAAGGAGGCCATGGATTATTATTTTGCAATGGGTGGAAAGGACAGGCACCGAAGAGGGGGGATGGCTTATGGGGCAGGATTTGGATATCCTAATATCGATGGACATATACCTCACCAGTACCGACATGCTGGGTCTGGCTCTGCAGCAGTGTCTGGGCTGATGTCACCGTACCCAGTAGATTATGGATCCAGTGCTGGTCCTGGTGGAGGTGCTGGTGCCGGAGCATTTTCTCCCTCTCATCAGTATAATATGAGTCAGAACGCTGCAATGCAGGCAGTGCCCGGATCTCAGATGCAGCAACGCCAACTTGGACAAACCTTCCCGACTGTCCACCACGGGCAGCAGCAGCAGCAGCATCGGAGCTACCCCCACTCCGGGCACAGGATGACCCCCCAGTACCCACACTACTCTCCACAGGGTGGGTTATCCACAGCAGCGTCGTCAGGAATGTACAGCCCGCCTCCGCAGAGGTATCTCGACGGGGCTGCAAGTGCCGGGTTCGATCCCAAAGTCAACAGTTCGCCTGGCCTCAACGCCAATTCAAACTCAATCTCCGGGGCAGTTGCTGCTAACAACGTGGGGCAGATGGAGAGCATTCAACAGAGTTACCATGCTGCGAATTATCCCGGATATTCCCCACAGACACTTTCACTTCACAAGCAAGCCACACTACAGCACCGCAACTCACAGCACAATTTAGGAGTAGGTTATGACAACTCGCTCAAGATGCAGCACCAGGGCCCGTCTCCAGGCTCTGTTTACGCTAAACATCATCATGCCTCCAATCCCAGTATACCTCAAGCAGCATCTCAAGAAATAGCCAAATCCCCAATGCATCCCAATGCTCAACAAACCCAAATTAACCAAAACTTCAGCCCAATTTCGAACCCGTCACCAGCTGCCTCTGCAGTACATTCCCCCAGTTGTAGCTCCTCTCCTTCCCCTTTGATGGGTGTCTCAGATGTTCATGGCCACCCCTCAGGTCACGGCCCTTCGCATCCTCCTACATCAAACCCCCGTAGCAGCCATGGTCATGGTAGATTACTGCAGACCATGCCACAGTTGAGTCCCACGCCCAACTCCAACAGCAGCATCAGTAGTTGTGGTAGCAGTGGCAGTCATAAAGCTCACAGTTTGAGTGTTGGAGGGAGTAGCCTTCCTCCAACAGGCCGCAACAAATTAGGTCTCGGCCCAGGAATGGGATCTCGAGAGGAGGGCGCCTCTATTTATTCATCCTCCCCACTTGACAAACTGCAGGATTCTGCCCTGAATAGTCTTAATGCCTTGAGTTCACAAGTAGCCAATTTACCAAACACAGTTCAGCACATGCTCCTCACCGACTCAATGCTTTCGCAGAAGAAGGGGAAAGACACCGGGCATATTCAACAGGCACCATCGCAACCGAGGAGTCGAAATGCAAGCGCAGCCTCGAGCACGAGCACGGTTAAAGATGGAAGTGCGCTGGGGATCGGGGATGGTGTCGGCTTAGATGCTGGTGCTGATGAAGACTCCTCATTGATGTCGGCTGGAGGCTCGACTCGGACCAAGGTGGAGCGTGAGGAGCAGTTTTCTGAGGGGGAACATGGAAGAATAAGGCAGATGAGCGGCGCAAGCAGTGGATCTGAACCCACTGGTTATCGACCTCCCTCACAGAGTCATACTGGGCAAGCATCAGCTGTAAAAACCTCAGATTTGCGGTCAAAAGAACCAAATGTGTCTAAAACAAAAGCAAATGAAGCTCCTTCTTCATTAGCATCTCCCTCCTTTGGATGTCAGTCATCAGAGACCGGCCACACTTCACGTTCAACACCTCAAGTTTCCCCACCCCCCTCCTCTAATATTCCTCCCCAGCAGCCAAATAGTGTCTCAGAGCCTGGTCTAAGATATAATGACCACAGAGGTGGCCATAGGAAGACACCAGAGATAAATAATGAAGTCATCAAAAATGAAAGTGAAGTTGAAAAAACAGGAAGGGGCAGAAGCCAAAGGCAGCGAGATGGAGGAGTCAATCCACAAAACTGTCAGGACAAAGAAGAGAGTTTGCACACTGCATCCAGATTACACAATAATGAGAGGGGAGAAAAGCTCCAGTCGGAGGAACAGCAGAGTGTTGGTGTGATTGTTTCAGCGCGGTCCGAGGGAAGTCAAGCTGAAAAAAGCAAGGACAACTGTTTAGAAGAAAAACCGTGTAAAAGAGAAAGCAGTCACAACGGGGAGGAAGGTGTGGATCTGAGTTTATATTCCCAGAAATCTAATTTTGGACGGCCTCAAAACCCTCCCCAATCTGGACCGAATAAATACGGCTATCCAGAATCAACATATGGCTCCGATTTATCAATGAAAAACAGAGGGCGGGCTGGCCCAGCAGAATCAAATTCCAGATATTTAGGGTACCAGCAATCACAAGCTGGTTATGGCTCTAAAGATGCTGGTCCTGCAGCAGAGGCTTTGGTAAAGAGAGGACAAGGAGCTAAAGGTCACGAAGATAATTCCCAGCCATTTCCAAGCCTCTTACAAGAGGTTCTTCAAGGCTACAATTTAGATAGACGTTATGGCAGACCAGAGCAGGCATTTCCTGCCCATCTCCAAGCTCAACAACAGTTTCAAAGCAGAAACCCGTATGGAGAAGCTGAAGCTTTGGGTCACTCTGGACAAATGGGGAGTTCTGGAAAGCCCCCACATGCAAACCAGAGGCATGGGAATGAGCCAGAATTTTCCACAGCTGCTCATTTGTCAGTGAAGTCAGAAGTGGCTATTACTAAGATATCGCAAAATGCTCAGAAATCTGAAGTGGGTGGGTCCCAGAGCCATTTAACACAGGCTGCAGAGTCTGAGCAGCCCCCGACAAAACACATCAACTTAGCAGACTATTCTCTCCCACAGAGAAAAGCCTTATCTAACGTTTCCACGCCGTCCTCCGCTGTGCAGGAACTCCTTTTGCAAGAGCCAGAGCCGCTAACAGGCAACATTGGTCAAGCTGAGTCTCAGAAATCATCCATATTAGCCCCATCAGAGCGGCGCTCCGTCATTTGTGATGTGTCGCCAAACAGACGCAGTACACCAGAGAGGGAAATTGAAAGGGAAAGAGAGAAAAGTCAGAGTGTGATTCAACAGCCATTTTCCTCCCCAGCAGCAGCCAATGATCTGAGCAGAAAAGATATTGGGGAGAAACAAGTGGTCAAAATGGAAACGGTATCGAAAGAAAGTGATCATCATGGTGGAGCTAATGAGGCTGATCTAGAGTATCATTCCAAGTCCGTTCATTCATCTGTTGTAATGAATGCTGACCCCTATAGGCGAGGCAATGTTGATATAACACCCTTGTCTTCTCATCCGTCGAACACTAACCCTTTATCTTCACCCCCGAGGCATCAGTCCTATCTTCACGGTGTCGATTTATCAACTGGCAGCGGTGGCAGTTTTTCCGGATATCGATTTGGAGACGCAAGAGAAGGGAATATGATGCCACGCAGTAACCCCCATTTTCCTTCCCACCATCCATACCACAATTTATCCCCTCAATCTGCAAATAAGATTCAAATGTATCCCCACCCCCGCGGCCCCCCTCATCACCCCCACGACATGAATGACTGGGTAAAAGCGATGAACAGGCCGTCAAAGGAGATGATGATGCAGCCCGGTTTGTCTCCAGGAAGACATAAGGGCGGCCAATCAGAACAGAGGCAGAGAATCTTACAAAGTGAAATGCCGGGTGAACAACTTGGGAGCAAAACTTCTCTCCGTCAACAGAGCGCTTTCTTTGATTTGAAAATGTGGGAGTCGACACACTCTGGAAGAGAAGGCGCTAGAATAAAGGAGGGAGATTCCTTTTACAGAACACAGCCTCCCCCCCTTCCTCCTCCTGTAGCTTCACACATCCCTGTTCCTCCCCAAAATGCAGCTGAACCTGAGTTTCCCAAACATCCCCTCCCACCTCCTCCCACTAAGCCTCCTGCAGAATTGAACTCCACTCCACAGCGTCCGACTAAAGCTGGCAGTTCTGGAGACACAAATGCGCTGATGTTGCGAAGACGAGTTCGTTCTTTTATCTCCCCTATTCCCGCCAAAAGGCAACTCCAGGAAGCCTCCCAGCAAAGGGCTGCCACAAATTCTCACCACTCCCCCGGGGCTCAGTCTGAGTCAAGCCATCACAATGAAGACGACTCATCCAGTTCAGATATCCCATGTCCCAGGCTTTCTTCCCCTTTGTCTGGAGAAAACACATATTCACAACCTTTATCTCCAACGAGTGGAAACACCAAGGCTTTGACCCACAGGAAAGGACGAGGTTTGAAGCTGGAGGCGATAGTGCAGAAAATCACACCAAATATTAGAAAGCCGGCAGGCCACGTTGATGACGAGTCAAATCATTACCCAGGTTTCCCTCACTCCGAAATACCTTCGTATAATGACTCGCAGGACCAAGATTTGACACATTTCCCCAGGGTTTCCGCTGGCGATGATAGTTACATGGATGAAAGTCACTCATTAAATGATATGATTCCCTTCAGAGGGATTGATGAGGCTGGTCCTTTACCTCCGACTGCCTACCCATGTGACCCCCATCACACGTCCCAAACCATAAAACAAGACTTTGACTTTGGATTAGGATCCGCCGTGGCGTCAGGGTCTGGCGACAAGGAGGATTTTGCTTTGCTCGGACCTTTACCCCCTCCTCCGCCTCTTCTTCGCCCAGTCCAGGATTCCCCCCCTCCGTCTTCATCCGCTCTGTCAGACATTCAACATTTCACCAACACTTACCAGCAGCTTGAAACCAGAAGAGGAGAGCAGTCTGCTGATAACCTCTTGCGACAGAAACTTCAAGAATCTGGCATTGGGTTTGACGATTATCCCAGGAGCGATTACTACGGATCCACCTCTCCCCACCATGGCCAAGGACACATGAATAGGCATCAGGTGTCCTCTTCTAGGTCTAGTATGTCGCCACAAGACTCTAAGCACTCGGACAGTTCTGTGCCCAAAGGCTATTTCCCATCTGGCAAGAAGAAGGGCAGGCCCGTGGGGAGTGTGAATAAACAAAAACGAGCCCAGGGTCAAGGCCAATCACCAGTGCAAAGCCAGCCCCAAACCCAGGGTCAAAGCACTTCTCCAAGTGCTACTCTGGCCACTCCAACTACAACTCCAGCTACATCACCACCACATGGTCAGACCACCTGCAGCTCACCCCCATCTCCTGAAGATCCCCTTCTTGCAGACGATGATACTGCTCCCCCGCTGACCCCGCCGGTTTTAACCCAGATAGTGAAAGTGGATGTAGAGAGCGAGGAAACGCAGCCGGTGGTCGAGGTCAAACCTGTACGCCAGCGACGAAGAGGCGTGAAAAATGAAGACGGGTCGCTGGAAGCAAGAGGTCGACAGAGGAGGAGGAGGAGGGTGGCGGCACCAACGGCAGCATCGAGGGCTAAAGAAGACCCAGATACACCTTCAGGGGGAGGAGGGAGCCCCAACACAAGTGGAGATTCAAATAGAAAGGGCCCGTTTATCCCACACATACATGTGGAGAACAAAGTACCAGAGATTGGGGCAGTGTGCACCATTGTAAACGGCGAGGAAGAGAAAATGAAAGCCGGGGGGAAAGCGAGCGGGAGTGGAATTGATTGTCTACTGACCCCCGCTCTTCCTCCCAGTCGTCTAAGAGAGACAAAGAAGCAGAGGAAAGGGATTCAGACGATGAGGAAACTACACTTCAGTCGGGAAAAGCTCTCCCTTCGTCCGACCATGTTGTTTCAGGCCCGGTGATCACAGAGACCAATCACTCGGGCCGCCTGCTCTGCTGCCTGTGTCAAAAATGGGCAAATTACAAACACCTCGGTGATCTCTACGGACCTTTCTATCCGGCTGAATACGCCGCAAGACTCTCCAAGAACCAGCCTCAACTCCGACAATGTCAAGCGGCCACGGGTGCAAACAAAACGGGACCAAACTTGGACATGGACTCAAATTCTTCGAACATAATTCAAGAAATGCAAACACAAGAGGCTCAGTTCACCAAGCCCCCAGCTGAGAGCCACTACAACATCAACCTAGAGTCAAACCCAATACCTCTCATTAAAACAGTCAGAACTGCCCCGCCAAGAGAGGAAATGATGATGCACATGACTGGCCAGTTCAATACCACCCCTTCCTCTTCCTCCTGTTCCTTCTCCTCCACTTCCTCCTACATCAGTAAAACAACATCTCTAACATGGGACATGAATCTAGACATCCGGCCTATCCCTACACTTAAGAGAGAGCCAGACTTCGAGATGGACCAACAGCAACAACCACAGCCACCGCAAATCCAGCAACAACAGCCGATGGACGACGCTCAACAGCGACCTCAACACAGAAAGCTGACCTCGCATCCTCGCTTTAAAAGGAGGCACAAATCCAGTGAGGATTCCCCCAGAATGGTGCCATCCAACAGCAAGGCGTCCCTTCCTTTCCAGCCTCCTCCCCCAGCTTTGGATTCTTTAGGGCCCTTGGCACAACTGGCCCAGCTGCCTCAGATGCCCATGGACCCCGAGGAGCTGTGGGTGCACGAGGGATGCATCGTGTGGACCAGTGGAGTGTATCTTGTCAATGGGAGACTGTACGGCCTGCAGGAGGCACTAGATGGTGCCAGAGAAACAGTGAGTGGCCTCTGCATCTGTTTTCATTTTGGGGATATTTTTTAAAGATAAGATAAGACTTTATTTATCCCGAAGGAAATCGTTGTGCCAGAGTTACAAAAATACAATAAACACAGCAGCATAATAGTAAAACTGTCCACTAACAGTGCAGTAAAAAGAACAATTAAATATCTACAGGACACATAGACGGTCACATCATTAATGTAAATAAAAGACACAACAAATGCTCAGCTATATATTGTTTTTGGTATAATTGATTAAGTTATTACAGCACAGGTGAAGAAAAGGACAGCTTCATATATATATATATATACACAGAAAAGACCATTTCTCAAAGTAAGACTAAGGCAAAACAAAACAGGGGAACGGAAGAAAATGAATAATACAACATGGTATCGGACTTATGGGTGTGTAGTTATAGGGTGTGTGTTTTTGTGGGGTTAGACCAAGGGTGTCAAACTCAATTTCATCACGGCCACATCAGCATTATGGTTGCACTCAAAGGGCCAGTTGTAACTTTAACACTATATAAAAATACATATACAAATATTTTATATATATATATAAAATATTTGTATTATAAGAAATGTTTTTCTCTGCATTGGATTATTATGGGATAGGGTAATAACTTCATAATTAACTACGTCTGAAAGCAGAAGTCTAGGGCAAATAATTGCAAGTCTCTTCAGTGAGAATGTCACAAAATGATTTAAAAAGAAAAGCCAAATTCTGAGAAAAAAAAGTGACATTTTGAGAAAGAAAGTAAAATTTAGGAAAGCAAATCTAATTCTGAGAAAAAGACAAATTCTTAAGAAAAAAAAAATATTTTGAAGAAAAAAAGTCAAATTCTGAGAAAAAAAGTCAAATTTGAGATGCATTGTGGGACATGTAGTTTATGGGCAACGTGCTTCTGTATAGTAGCATGTAACCGTATAATAAACATATTATATTCTTTGCAAGCTCTTATGGGGCCGCAGAAAATGAAGTCGCGGGCCGGATTTGGCCCCCGGGCCTTGAGTTTGACACCCCTGGGTTAGACTGTGGGGTAATACAACTACATTTATCTTTAATTCAGATGTTCATATTTTGTTACCCGTTTATGGGTTAAGAAGAGAGTTCTAGAGAAAAAGAGATATGTAAATAATGACATGAATGAATAATAATCATTCCAAATATACAATTTGAATAAGTTCGCACTACTGTGTGTGGATTATACTATCGGTATGGGTTTATTGATTTCTTCTGTCTGTTTCTCTGCTCAGTGCTGCTCGTACTGTGACATGGTCGGATCGACCCTGGGCTGCTACAGTAAAGGCTGCACACTTCGCTACCATTACCTGTGTGCTATTGAAGCAGGTGAGTGGATGCATTCAATAATAGCAAGGAAGGAATACTTCACCTCCAAAATGATTGATTACTTGTTACCTTGAGTTTTTAAAGAATAGGTTGTTTTTCCCGCATGCCCTCACGATGAAAATCCAAAACCCAGAGAAATACATTGAAGTTTGTGTCAAAAAGCAAAACTATACAAAAGTCTCAGATAAATGGGACTTGGGGAAATCCTGCACGATTTGTGTGAGAGTTTGATTACACGTGTTTTGGTATATTATTGCTGTCGACCAGCGTTTCCGCCGTCTTGCCGTAATTTGACGCTCTTATTCAGCTCGGAACGCCCTGAACTCGAGCCGAGGGCGTCCAAAAAATAAATAATTCGGAATAGGATCAAGTTTTTATCGCTTGAAATTACGAAAGGGAAAAAGACAAGGTCATCCCTCTGTTGGAGGGGCAAAGGAGTCTGGTGGGATTATTTTCGCCGCCAGCAAAGCGTGTTACGGAAAGTGTACTGCCAGCGAGCCTTGACGGGGGGTGCTAGTGGAGCACGCGCGTGAACTGCGAGCGCCGGAGCCTCGCAGCGGCGAAACTGAGGCTCCGTGGTAAATTGTGGAGAGCCGAAAGAGCCGGCTATTTTAGTTAGGCTCACTAAAAAGAGCCGGAATTCCCATCACTAATACGTACAGAGATAGTATCTATAACTTAAGGGACTGCTCAATTCAAAATTCAAGTCACATGACACAACGTGGCGTCACCCCCACCCAGCGCTCTCGGAGTGAACGCCCTCTCAACCCTGGTCTGGCGGAAACACTGCTGCCGACATTTACTTCAATTCTTCCTTACTTTTAAATGTTTTTTGATTCTTCATTCCTCGAAGCGGCATGCGAGAAAAACTCAAAATGTCTTCAATAGATCAACACAGGGAGGCTTTGGTAGGCCTATCACCCACCCATTGAACAAATCCACCAAATGTTATGATGATTAGATGAATTCTTGTATCGTACTAATATGTTCTGCTCCCCCTTCCAGATTGTTCTCTGAACGAAGATAACTTCTCACTGCGGTGTCCGAAGCACAAGGTAAAGAAAGAGAGGTTGGTGTTTGCTTTAAGAAACTCGGTGAAAGTCCTCATCACCACCCATTCAGTGTTTTTCACTTCTTCAATCCCTTCCTCTAACCCCAAACTGTTTTCTGTCTGTCTCCTTCACTCAGTTTACTCAGAGCATTCGGCCACCCAAGTCAGTTTACCTGGAGCAGTCAGAGAGAGGCTGAGAGAAACGCAGAAGAAGGAGAGATACAGGAGTCATGGAGCTGTAAGTTTGGACTCTGTTGTGTGTGTGCTTTCTTGCCGGTCAAGTCTCCGGAAATAATTGATTTTACCGGACAAATTACCGGTCATGTTTCAATAATAATAATAAGAATTGTGTAGCAGAGTTTCCGTTAGCAGGTAATTGCCGGACTATGACCGGATATGCTGATGTTTAAAACTCACTTAATGACAGATCGAAAAATTCAGATTCATTTTTCAATAAATGATACGCTTCCACGAACAACAAACACAACGTAATTATTACATTCAAACAAACTACTTGTAGTAGATGAAGTACATTATTCAAAAGTTTACATTAAATTTGAACGATACCACGGGAGAAACGGATTCTCTCTCTCTCTCTCTCTCTCTCTCTCTCTCTCTCTCTCTCTCTCTCTCTCTCTCTCTCTCTCTCTCTCTCTCTCCCTCTCAGGTGCTCAGAGCTGCGTGTCTCCGTCAGACTCAGCAGCTGATCTGATCTCTCTCTCGTGTCCGGTTATACTTCACTCTCGTTTATGTCCATATCGATCAGATCCAGCTCTCCTGATCGGCCTCTATAGAGAGCACCGATCAAACTATTAAGAGTGAATATCGGCCGATAATGACCGGCGGCCGATCGATCGGAGCATCCCTAATTATTACCGGACATTTTGACCGGCCGGTTTTTTATAAATGTTACCAGCTAAAAAACGGTAATTACCGGCTAACGAAAACCCTGCTGTATTTGTCTGTGTAGTACGCTAAGTGATTATTAATCTTACTTACAAAGAAATGTATGGAAAAAGGGCTGCACAATATAAAAAAAACAACTAATTGTCATTATTTTTGACAGATATTTTCAGAACTATATAGCAGGGATTGGTCATTTTTGCCTCCTTTTCATTATCATTTAAAAATATATTTAAAATGATCATATTTTTATTTTATTTGTATTATCCGTACCAAACAAATATGTATTGTTAAGTTTGTAGAACATTATGTGTAGCCTGTGATAGCTCTACAACTCAAAAACTCTTTAATTAAATGTTTTCTTTTACATATGTTCTGCAATTTGACCATTGCACTAGTCAATATTTCGATTTCTGTAAAATGTAGATTAAAGGTAGGGTAGGTAATTCACTTCAGAAACACGTTTTGTTATATTCCATGGAATGCTCTTAACATCCCGATAGCAATGAATACATTAAATGCTTTGACAATAAATACATAACAACATTTCATCTGTGGAAGCCGTGGCGCTGTAAAAAGCACGACCAATCATCTGCCTCGGCCCGGCTAAAGTAACTGGATGGCCTACCTGCCTGTCAGCCTTCCATCTGTGCACAAACTTATCTCGTGCACTCATTGGTCATGTGTGTGTTGGAGGAGGGGCTCTGTGAGGAAGTCTGAAGGAAGGGGCAGATTTTTTCCAGTTGTGTACTTTCAAATTCTAGTGCACTCGATCTGGTTTCTCCATTCTTACCTACCCCACCTTTAACTGTTCATCCTTGAATGGAAATTATTTTCAAAATATGGGCCAGAATGGTGCAGCCATATAACACAATATAGATTGTAAAAAAAACACCTTCCTCTTTTGGTGTTAACATGTAATGAAGCACATTATAGCAACCCAACAGGTTAAATCACCACAAGTACATTTATTTTTCTAGGAAACATAATTTGGTTTCTCATTAACAAACGGTCAGTGAATGGCTACTCATGTGTTGCCTCAGGGCTGATTATACATTTCCTATACAGATAATTTAATTTCACACAGCAGTACAATAGCTACTCTACTCTTTGTTGGCTCGTTCTGAGAAAATAATTATTTCTCACACTCCTCCTCGCCTCACCTTAGTGTCTGAACCGCTGCCTGTCTCTTCCTCCCCCTCACCGCAAGTCCTCATGGAAACCAAAGACAAAACATAACTCTCCTTTTCTGCATCTTTTAGTAAGATTTCCGCCTTAATTCATCACCGTCTGAGCCAATCTTTATCTCTTTTAAAATGGGTTCGAAAATTTGCTTTTACAAATCGAAATCCATTGGATTGAGAAAAAGTAGCAAGATTTGATGTGCTTGCCTCAATTTGCACTGACACATTTTAATAATATGTCTGTCAGTGAGTCAGATAATGGAGTAAAAAGGAGTCTGCCAACCTGTTATTATCTGACCACTTCAAAGCCCTTCTGACAGAAGTCTACTTAAGTACAGAAATTGCAAAATGTGTAAAAGCATTGCATTGTAGTGGCTGTTTTATATTACATTGTTCAAAGCCCACTTAGTTTCCAAGGTGAATTCCAGTTTCCCAAGCGTTGAAATAGCTTTAACCTTTGTGTTGTGTTCCTGATTTGACTGTTTATAAAGCATATGTGACCTGCTCCATCGAAATCAGTCACATTGACCGTAGACACATTTTGAGTTGTATACACTGATGGAAAGAGATTCCTAGCTTTCTAATGATATCAGGATTGTTGTTGTACTCCAAATATTAAGCAAAATATATCACATTATATAATGACTGTCACAGAGTCATCGTTTTGAGAAAAAGGCCTTCAAAGTTTCCTCTTCTCTGGAATCCATCGATCTGATTCGTTATTAGCAAATGATCAAAGTACTACGGAGGGAAGATATTTTCATTTGGATTACTGGTCTGGGGGAAGCTTGTGTGTGTGTGTGTGTGTGGCCTAGCATTACTATACTTGTGGGGACCTGAATCTGTTTACACAGTCACGTGTGGGGACTCGCCTCCCTGATGGGGACAAATTGGAGGTCCCCATGAGGGGAATCATTAATTTTAGGGTGAAGGTTAGGTTTAGGTTAAGGGTTAGGTTTAGGCATGTGTTGGTTATGGTTAGGATAAGTCTCCAGGAACTGCATGTAAGTCAATGTAATGTCCACTGAAGTGAAGTGTGTGTGTGTGTGTGTGTGTGTGTGTGTGTGTGTGTGTGTGTGGTGTGTGTGTGTGTGTGTGTGTGTGTGTGTGTGTGTGTGTGTGTGTGTGTGTGTGTGTGTGTGTGTGTGTGTGTGTGTGTGTGTGTGTGTGTGTGTGTGTGTGTGTGTGTGTGTGTGTGTGTGTGTGTGTGTGTGTGTGTGTGTGTGTGTGTGTGTGTGTGTGTGCTTCCCAGGGAAAACAGTCACGAGAAACACCGGCTGCTGTGACGTCAAGTTACTCCGTTCTCCGCTTGTAATTATGCCGAAGCTTCAAAGTTGTATTTATCTTCTGAATTTGCTGAAACAAGTTTAATATTCTGAAAGCCAAGACTTTGTTGAATTGAAATCAGATGAAAACAAACTGTATCGGACCCTGCCGTGTTATCTATGATCACTTGCATAGCCTTCATAATGTCAGCGCTGTGGAACAGCAGAGTGGCGAGGGAGAGCTGTCTTCTTCCCTTTACAAGCTTCAAACATGTATTTATCGTTTGATTTTGGAAATAAAAGTTTCATATTCTGAAAGCCAAGACTTTGTTTATTTAAAATCAAACAAAACACCCGAAAAACTATTTTTTTACGCAAATCCGCGTTTATTTTGAAATGAGCCGTGACTTCCGACTGATTTCGATAGAGCGGGTCATATATAGTACGATTCATCACCAAAGTCTGTCTTATAACTTTTAACCAACTCAATGAACACTTATTGAAAACAACTTTTACTGTTGTCTTTAGAATATATGGTCAATAGATATAATTTACCCAAAATAAACGCAAAGATGATTTTCCCAAATTGACAAGGGAAAACAACAGATGCCATACATTTCAATAAACACCGATAATTCAATAATGGCAATGATCAGCTCAAATAGATAAAATAACCCCTTTTTCTGACATAAAAACTTTTACCAACGGCAAGGTAAATAAAGAACCGATGTAATCACATGTAAGTCATGAAGGTTTATTCAAAGAAATCACAGCTTCCAAATCCACATGTCTCTTGGCGGTCCATTACCGACTTAAAAGACACTATAAAAATGCATATAAGATAAACACAAGTACTATCACACTATCACGATGCAGTCTAAAACGTCTTTGTTCCATGCTTGTAGACTTCCCATTGTCTTACAGGCATAACACCATTTTAAACTCTTGGTCCTGCAAACTAGAGTCTGCTTTACGGCATAAAACGTGTCTGTGAGCCTCTCCGCTCACACAGGGTTCAAATAGGGACGGAAAGAGCAGGTTGGTTGATCACAGGCGTTTATTAGCTCCAAACAAAGTATACACGGGTCTCAAACGTTGCCCGTGTGGGAACCTTCACAGGTCCTTTGGCGACTTTCCAGGATCCCGCCTACTGCAAAAAACAGACCAGAACCAGGTTATGACATGCTTTTATTCCGGCACTGATTACCTGATTCCGATCAGCTCTGTCTGGCGTCCGGCCGAGCCACTCCCTTCACTCCAGCAGCCGGTGCCCTAACCACACCCCGCTGCCACAGTGTCATAAACAATAATAAACATAAACCTTTACACAGTCCAGAAAGATGGCTACTTACAAAACTGTACACAATGATACGCCTAAGGAACAAACTTCCTAAATATCTGAGGTCCGTCCTAATCTTAGTGCATTTCAAGAGGTCATTTAACTATGTTTTATCATTGCACTTCAGCTCTTCTTGCAGCATTATGTGTATTTACAATGTCTATTCTTTTACGAATGTGTATCTCTTAGAAACAGTTCAATTTATTTATGTGTTCAAGTTTCAAGGCTTTTATTGTCATGTGTGCATAGCTACAGTGTAGTTATGACAATGAAAATAAAATAGAATATAATAGAAACAGAATATGTTAGAAACTAGGGATGCTCCGATCGATATCGGCCGATACTCACTCTCTGCCGATCGATCGGTGCTCTCTAAAAACGCCGATCGCGCATGACGTAAAATGTTGACGTAAAATACATGACACTTTTCTCTGCGCTGCAAAACAAGCTCGCCAAAATGGCTTCACCGGTCTGGCAGTATTTTAAGGTGTCCGAAAATGTCAATAAAATAGCGGTATGCAACGTGTGTGAAGCAGAAATCCTGCAGCTCCACCCGCTGTGACGGACCGGTGAGCGGAGCGAAACACACACTAACGCAGCATCCACACAGCGGCGTGCGTTGAAGCTTGCCGGTGGGCGTGTCTGAAACTCGACCAACAACCAATCACATGAATCTCCCGCCCCAGACACACAAGCACGCGTTTTGATTGGCTAGAGCTTTTACTGGCATATGATTTGATAGGCTGACGCTTCCGTCGAAGCTTCAAAAGTAGAACATTGATCTACTTTTGAAGCGAGCAAAGCGAAGCGACGGAACCACAATAGCAGTTCGGCAAAGTCTGACGTCATCCCATTCAAAGTGAAAAGAAGCGTTGAAGCTTCAACGCACGCCGCCGTGTGGACGGGCCGTAAGAGTTAGACCTAACACACTTAGCTATTTTATCTACCTCTGGAACAAGCTAAACTAGTTATATATATATTTATTCTTCAGTGTCGGGTCACTCATTACTGGATCAGTGAGCTGCATGAGATACTGACAGGCTGTCAGGGGAGAGAGAGAGAGAGAGAGAGGGAGAGAGGAGAGAGAG